GGCGCCCACAATACCGTAGGGGAAAATATCGGCGCCTACAACACTGTTTGGGCTCTGTTGTGCCAGGAAGGTTGCAGTGTACTGTTTCTACAAGTGTACAGAGTATGGTCCCCGGTATTGCGGTTTGACTTGTGTGTCCTGCCTTACTTTCTTCGTCCGTTTTCTGGTCTTTACCGAGCGGACGTCCCCGGTCGGTTGGTCCCGGTCGGTTCTGATTACGCCAGTTGGAGAAGAGCATTGAGCGGGGTTTTTGGCGTACCCCGGTCGGAGACGTGGAGTCGGAGTCGGAGTCGGAAGTAGTGCTTTGATCAGGCCTTCCGGTCGAAGAGGCCGTCCGGAGGCGGGCTGGAGACCGAAGTGAGCGCTCCGGTCGGAGAGGTGGGCCGGAGTCGAAAAACAGGCACCGCTCCTCCTCGGCCAGACCTTCCGGTCGGTGATTGGATCGTCCTTCTGGCCTGTTGTTTAGATACTTGGGCCGGCCCATGAATTGCGCGTTGTCTGCTTGGGTTGAGCCTTTGTTGAGAAACCGGTCCACGAAGGACCCCGGGTTTATGAACCCGACAATATATATCGTCGACTTCTTATTTGTTAAACAATCAATATAACCTCAACAATGATATAAATATAAATCCGTATGTTTTATTATGTTATAAACTTGTATATAATTAAAATAATTATTGGTTAAAGTTTGTGTTAATTGGCTTTCTCTGTTCAAACAGAGGGATCATGACGATTCTAGTAAACGTAACCGAAGTCGTTCATAACTTTCCTCCCTCGAAGTCATTTAATAACAAGCTTGAAGCATCAGACCTTAAGGATTCTGAAACTCAAACCACATATTCATTTCAACTTAGGAGTATTTCATAATTCTAAAAATTTATATTTATAGGCTATTGTTGGCAATCAGTAAATTAAACAGAGAGTATAGTATAATAGGATAGACCATGCTATCCTAAATGTACCTACCATATGTTGCATTGTAGGAAGGGTAATTTTCCGTTACTTGTTTAAAAAAAAAACATCTGAGTCGACATCCTACTGGAATCAAGCCAGAAATTCTGAAAGATTGCTTTTAACTTTTGTGTTGTTTTTTTTTCCAAAAATTCATTGAAAGAGCTAAGGGCCTGATTGGTTTGTGACGAAATTTTACCATGCCAAAGATTTGGCAGTTAAAAGTTGGACAAAAAATTACTATAGATTTGACAAGCTAAATATGAGAGGTCGGCAAGTTTTGGTAGCAAACCAAATAATAGCAAAAATTTTGGCTTGTCAAATCTTTGGTAGGGCAAAATTTGGTCACAAATCAATCAGACCCTAAATGCTCACAATTCACAAAAGAGATAAGCCCATAACTTCCTCGACAGAGTGATAGTGTAGGATCTCTGGGCAGCTTAGAGGGAGAGTGAATAGGCTGTAAAAATTCAATTCAAATCGAAGTCAAATTCACCCGCAGCACTGCCGCATCTGCAGGAGATATTAGTTCACAGTTTAAAATCTATCCAACGAAATTTAGATTGGGTAAATTTCTTAGCTTTCTGCAGAGTAGTAGATCACAGATTGATAGCTGAAAGTGGTGGGAACACCACACAAGTAGATCAGCCTCAAACTATAGAAATCACCTCAATCAACAATATGTCACGTAAGTAATGTAAATCAAGCACAAGTGACGTAATAATTTATCCCGTGGTTCGGCTCGCCACCGAGGCTTGTCTACCTCCACGCTGTTGAGGTTAGCCACTAAGGTTTAGAGCTTTCCAACCTTTCACTCGTTCTCAAGTCAAGAGACTTAACTTTTGAGATGTGGGGTGAGTTTACTAGCTTCAAGAGATGGTTATAAACCTCCCAGAGCTGCCACACAAGTTGGCAAGCTCCACGGGCGATGCTCTAGCCGGCTAGAGCCAAGCTCTAAGAGTAACAAAGACAGCCACCGGCTAAAACGTGAACCAAGTGCTCTTTAGAGTTTGGGAATCAATGGAGCTGCTTTCTAATCGAGTTTTAGACCCTTATCCCTCAAGGATTGATTGTAAAATCAATGAATTTGCTTGGGGGCTTGAGGTCAACAATGGAGTGAGAAAGAGAGAGCTCCTGCTCTGTTTTGGACGTGTTGAACTGAGAAGAAGAGAGCAGATTGGTTCGTTACTATTAGGAAGGAAGAGAAAAGGTATATATACCTTTAGCCCCCAACGGTTACTTTAAATCACAGATAGCCATTGGCGATGAATGGGAAAGGTATATATACCTCTCAGCCCCAAACGGTCACTGCACCCAAGGGACCAAGCGAGACGGAGCCCGTGGCCTTGAGGTCGGACGAGACGCCCGCAACCAAGGGGTCGGACGAGACAAAGCCCGCGACCATGGGTTCAGGCGAGCCGGATCCCGCGACCTTGGGGTCGGGCGAGACGGAGCCCTCGACCTTGGGGTTGAGCGAGTCGGAGCCCGCGACCAAGGGGTCGGACGAGTCGGAGCTCGCATCATGCAAGACAGTGAGGGTAATAGTGAAGTGTAGACTGTCTTGGCTGTGAATCTAAGGATGCATGTAGTTATTTGAACAGTTGGTAGCACATATTAGCTTAAACATTGTGCCCCCTTTATAGTACGGTTTTTTCTATACTCAAATTCAATATATAAAAGAATTTAAACCTTTTTTTGAATTTGAAGCCATCTACATTTATAATTAAGGGCTCCTCCGTTTCGTGTAGCATCCTCGAATATAAATTTCATGCTTGTCATCTTAATAAATCTTATTAGTTCTCTAATTGTGTGGTTATTATCACCAAAACCCATAATTAAGGTTTGATTGCATTTTAGTTTGTCGAAGTGATCGTTCTTCCGTGAAGTTATGAGGTACTCTAGATGATGGATCACCATCTCCACTAGCAGAATAGTCTCTTGGATCACTTCGGCATTGTCCTTCAAACTTGCGACTGCTCGACGTTGTTGAATCTGTTTGTGGCTCAAGTATATCATGCTGTCAGTGTCAGCACTTCATCATTGTTGCCTTTTCTATTGTCTCATACAAAATGAGAGTTGACACAATAATAATATATAATACGTGCTTAAATGCAATTTTACTACTATAGAATTGCTAGTCGACACATTTGTTTGGTTAGTTTACGAAATTTGGTTTGGGCCGATGATCTTTGGTTTATTGTGAGAGAGAAAACATCATTGGTCGGTTTGGTTTGAATTTGGCTGGGTTGAAACCAACAAGCGACGAGGTGAGTGCCATAACTCTTACTATTAGAGAACCAAGCTTATTATTGTGTTTTCCCAGTAAAAAGATAGAGGTGCCAAATGTTCTAGAAACTACTTAGCCCTAGTGAAAAATTGCAAGGTAACAACTAATCTAATTTTAGTATTGTATAATTTGCCCCATTGCCATGGAATTGTTTCACATAGAAATGGAAAACAAGCCACATAAGTTTTTTTCCTCCTTTTTAAAGAATTTTCTAAGTGGGATTCTTTGCCAAGATTTTGACAATTAAATGACCCCTTTTCCCCTTATATGCACTCTAGGAAACCATAACGAGATACACTTCAAGCATATTTTGAACAAAGTTCAAACAAGACTCAGGACCCAAGGATAGAACAGATTCAATGCATTTCGGAAGAGTGGATTGCTCCGTACCTGTCCTTTATTTGGTTTCGATTGAAGTTAGTTTTTGAGGATTTAGATCTTCGTCTAATCACGTGCTTTTATAAGACAAGATTCTTCCACTCTATCATGTTCGCTTGATCGTATCAGCCACGCTTATCAGCCATGATATAGTGTTTTTCTCTCACAACAAAACATCACCAGCCGACTTATAAGTGATAGAAACGATCGAGCGAACAGGATGTTAGAGCAGCTCTGATGGATGAGACAGCCAGCTAGCTCTTTAAACACCCTAATGTGGGTCCCATGTCTTTTTCTCGGCCCACCACCTCCTCCCACCTCAGTCCCCACGCACGTACGCTAAGCCCAACGCCACGCTCACCACGCACTGCTAGTCGGGTTGCCGTCCCCTGTTGTCCACCTGCTCCCATTCTAGCCTTGACCTTGTCTCGCTCTCGGATTGTTGTCGCTTCCACTTGATTCAACCACCGCCACAACCCTTCTTTCTTTAGACGTTGTCGTCCTCGTATGGCTTGATTTCAGTGCCCCTGTCGCCTCTTGCTCTCTAGCTGCTGCCGTAGCTAGGTCCGAGCGCATTGGCCTCCTATCGTTCGATGAGATCGGTGAGAGTTAGGGCTTCTTTGGCACGACTTATGCCGGCTTTGAAACTTTCTATTTTTTTGTGAAATCGAGGCATTTGTGGCGTGAAGCCATTTTATAAGCCGGGGTTAAAATGGACTAGAAGCCGAGAAAAGCCAGTTTTTCTGGCTTCACCGGTGAAACCGTTTTGGATGAACCGTGCCAAAGAGGGCTTTAGTCAGAGAGAGAGTGTGATGGAATGGGCTATTAGACCCTAGTACTACCCCCTGTTGTGTTTGAGCCTAGAGTGAGAAGAAGATGTTCTTTCTCTTTTATCTTTTTTTATGTAAACAAAATCCTAAGGTGATTTTTATGATCTAGCCGATATTGTGATTGTCGAAGTCTTGAATATGTTCTCATCAGGAGCGGAACGCCGCCTTGGACGTGAAGCAACTTTACGAATCGAAGCCGGCCCCTCACGCCGAGGCTGAGCAATTTGGCACTCCACCGGGGGCGCGGAAGCAAAAGCAGTGCCGGCCGAATGGTAATGCCGCCACGCTAAAGACGAGGGGCGGCGGCGCGGACAGTCAAACGAACCGCTCCCTGACTGCGCCGAGTTTTATTACTTGTTGCCGCTGCCGCTCCACCACCCGCTCTCGCTCGCCATTGCCTTGCGCCCCTTTTTAACCCCCTCCTCCCCCACCGCTATAAGTCCCTCCGCCCTCCTCTCCCACCTCAAATCCCAGACGCCAGACGCCACCCATACATACTCACACGCACGCACGCGCCTCCCGCTGTTCCGCAAAGAAAGAAGAGAAACGAGGCCATGGCGCCGAGAACGTCAGAGAAAACGATGACACCGGCGGCGGCCGCCGCCACGGGGCTCGCGCTTAGCGTCGGCGGCGGCGCCGGAGCCGGCGGCCCGCAGTACAGAGGCGTCAGGAAGCGGCCGTGGGGCCGGTACGCGGCGGAGATCCGCGACCCGGCCAAGAAGAGCCGCGTGTGGCTCGGCACGTTCGACACGGCCGAGGAGGCCGCGCGGGCCTACGACGCCGCCGCGCGCGAGTACCGCGGCGCCAAGGCCAAGACCAACTTCCCTTTCCCTTCGTCGTGCATGCCACTCGCCGCCGGCGCCGGAGCCGGCACCGGCACCTTGCCCGCGGCGGCGGCCGTCACCGGCGGCGGCAGCCGGAGCAGCAACAGCAGCACCGTCGAGTCCTTCAGCGGCGGCGACGTGCAGGCGGCGCCCATGCAGGCCATGCCGCTCCCACCGTCGCTCGAGCTCGACCTGTTCCACCGCGCGGCGGCCGCGGGCACGGGCGGCGGCGCCGTACGCTTCCCTTTCAACAGCTACCCCGTGACGCACCCGTACTATTTCTTCGGGCAGGCCGCGGCTGCCGCGGCAGCAGGGTGCCACATGCTGAAGCTGGCACCGACGGTGACCGTGGCGCAGAGCGACTCCGACTCCTCGTCGGTCGTGGATCTGTCGCCGTCGCCGCCGGCCGCCGTGTCGACGCAGAAGGCCGCCGCGTTCGACCTTGACCTGAACTGCCCGCCGCCGGCCGAGGCGCAGGCCTAGCCGCTGGAGTTTTTAGCTGAAAATGACCGCCTGTAGTTTCTTTCTTCGCCTTTTCCCCGTAGAAGAAAAATCGGTACGCTTAGAAGAGGAGAACCCTCTTGTTCGACGGAGGGAGGACATTTTTGTAAATAGTTTTTCCGCTGGGGACCTAGCTTTAGCTGATGATGATAAAAGCTGTATTGTCACCCATGACAGGTCCTGCCGGCGTTGTTATGGACCGGGATTATTATATTATTACTATTATGTATTTTGATAGTCATGAGAAACGGCTTAGAAAATCCCAAAAAAAAATTGCACAGAAACTATCTATTTATTTCTTTGTTTTCAGAAACTGAAGTGAGATCTATGAACTGCAAGCATGGGTATGGCCTTTCGTATCGTAGTTTCATTTCATTTATTGCTTGCTTGCGATCCATGCAACGTCGCCTTTATTGGTCCGTTAAAGATGTATCAAAGGCTCAAAGAGAGTCGACGAGTCGTCTCGTCTCGTCTCGTCTCGTCTCGTCTCATCCAGCGTAGTAGACGTTCACCATCCAAGACTAGGTCATGTACGTGTCCGTTTCGGAACAACGAGCACTAGTGCTAGTACAGATCCACGGCCGCAACCCACAGATCCACGGAACAACGAGTACGTGTGCATCGTTGGGTGCTCAACTTTTTACCCCCGGGTCGGGTAGTTGGCACACGACCAGTGGACGGAGGCGGCGGCATCGCTGTCGATTTCACGCGTGTAACACAAGACGAGGACCCCGCTAGCCCGCTACAGTCGCCCGCCGTGCCGACGGACGGACGGAGAATATAATTTCGCGTACTACTGCGTGCCTTTTCGAGTCGTTTTCCCGGCGCAGTGAGCGGGCGCTATGGAACTGTACCGTGTCAGGCACAGGGGCAAAAAAAAATGCCGGCCGCCAGGCTGTTTTAAATTGCGGGCCGCTATTCCAAATCCAAGGTGACGCTGACGCATGTGGACAACGAACGAGTAAACATAGGAGATGGATTAGGCTGTGTTGAGTTCGCGAAATTTGGGAATTTGGCTATGATAGCATTTTCGTTTTTATTTGACAATTAGTGTTCAATCATGAACTAATTAGGCTCAAAACGTTCGTCTCGTGATTTCCAACCAAACTGTGCAATTAGTTTTTTTCGTCTACATTTAATGCTCAATGCACGTATCGCAAGATTCGATATGATGACTACTGTAAAAATTTTTTGGAAAAGTTTTTAGGAACTAAACACAGCCTTAGTTTATTTGATCCGATTAAATTAAAGCCGGAGCTGCGGCACGGCGGCAGCCGGCAGGGCAGTGGGTGGTGGGGCGGATGGATCTTTCGCAGCCCCGTCGGTGTGCGCGTACGGCGCGATCGTCCTGTCCTGCCTGTGCTGTGTGGTGTGCGTGCGCTGGGCTGGCAGGTCGTGGTTGCCCTTTCCGCTCGTGATCTCGGGAGTAACGTGAGCGTGTGGGCGACGACGCGCCCCACGGGCCACGTGTGCGCGGCGCTGCCGGAAACTGCCGCGGCCGCCTGCCGGCCAGGGGCGGGATCCGCCCTGCGCGCCCCGGCCCACGCACCAGCCCCGCGGACCGGCCGCCCCGCGTGGGGGCGCGTGGGAGGCGGCCGCCCATTGGCTGGCGTCCGTGGTGCGTGGACGACGCGGGACGCGGGTAGCGGTGGGAGGACCTGGCGTGTGCGTGGTCCGCGGCGGACAGGCGCGGGCGGGCCCGACACGCGGGGCGGGGGGCGGCATCGGGGCGCGCTGCTGATTCGCGCGGCGGCCGTTTCGCCCTCGCTCTCGGGGGCGGGGCCCGCGGCCACCCTCGGAAGGTCGTCGCGCACGGCGCCATCTACCCGCTGTTCCTCCCTCGGCTCGGCTGTGTGCGTTTTCTATTGCTTTCCCGGCGCCACCGTTTTTCCTCGCTTGTACGTGTTCGCCACAGTGGGCTCCCGGGATTTTCGTTGCGCTGCAGCTACCTACCTACCCGCTGCTCCTAGTCCTTCTGGCGCCACCATCCCACAGAGAACAACAAATTCATCTGCTGTCATGCTGAAATTTTGCTATATGTACTAACAAATATTTCCGCACGACTAGAAATACAGGCCAGCTTCTCTCCTGAAGGAGAATTTTTATTCTTTTTAAAAAAATGGAAACCGAAGGAGGAGCAAGTCGAGCTGTGGTATGTTGGGGGCTTGGGGCGCTAGCTATACTAGAGCACTCGAGCTGGCCTGCTGAGGCGCGGGGCCCATGGGGCTACTCGAGTTGGATATGGTTACGCTAGACGGCTGAGCCAGCAACACGTGAAACTGCTTGTCACGCGCAGCCGCGCACCAAAAGTGGTGGCCTACATTGTAACTGGTCCCGTAGTAGGTAGTAGGCCTTGTTAGCCCAAAAACTTAGCTGGGCCGTGGATCCCAAGAAGACCAAAAAAAGTCCGACAGGCGGTCAAAAGTTTTTGCCGCGCCTTGCGCCTCTTTATGTACAGTACTCAATCAGTTGAGTACTCGGGAATACTTCAGTGTCAAGGACCAGATTAGAAAAAGGAAAGTAGTCTTAGGGTTCGTCAGGCCAGTAATCTGATCAAGTTCTTCTAACCCCAAGACATCTTGGGTCCACACTTACAATTAACTACGGTGACCATAATCTTTTGGTACAAATTAAGGATCTATGTGGGACTTTTAACAAGTCATCAGGCAACACCTTCAGAACATCCAAGCAAGAAGATCAATAACACTTGAACTCCTCTCAATTTTCAATTCTTGGTTTGGAGGGCTCTTCAACACTTCACACTCCCTCTCTATAAGTATTGGCAACAATTGGTGGAAGAGCAGCTCCAAATGATTATACAAATGGTTGTGGTGCCTTTGTTAACATTGTTGAACTCTTTCCAGTATAATTAAAATTTTGTTCATCTATGGCTTCAAAGAAAACATTCCTTGCTCGAACGTTCCACCTATTTTGGTCCACATTCATAGAACCTCCATAGCTCGTGCCAGCAGCCACCCATACGTGATGGGGAGAGGGATTCAATGTAAAACGGCATGTGGACTTTCCAATAAGGAAAGCTCCTCCCCCCGAACTTGAGTGTCACATTCCCTCCTAAAGCCATTGCTTGAGCGCATAAAGGCAGGAAAGAGGGTGAATTGGGCTGTTAGACAATCTCCAAGAGATTTTGTAAAATAGATCTTCAAAAAACACAATTTAGAGGATATCTAAAATAGATAGCTCTCCAAATTACTGGAAAACCACAACAGTTTCTTTAATCCACTCTCCAATCCAAATTTCTAACTGGCCATGTCAACCAACCCATTTAAATTGTACAGTGACATGCACGGGAATTGAAAGCATAGCACTCGCGCAAGTTGGGTGCATGCACGGGAGTGGAAGGAGGACAGGCGGATGGCCAGCGACTGCCCCTCACCAATTCTCCTGAGGGAGAATGACGGAATAGAGCACTCGCGATTTTAGAAAACTAGGTAACGAAGCTGTTGGACGTAGTTTTTCTAAGAAAATCTCTAAACCGGACATCACGAAAGCGTATATAGAGTCTCTTGGAGATGCTCTTAAAGTGTCAACCTTATACTATGCAAATTATAAATCCCCGCTTTACTAAAAAAAATGAAAAGTACACTAATCAGTTATTAGTGCCATAATACTACACAATTCTTTAATTAGCAAAGTATCTACATTTCCACACTTGAGTATTGTCCTTAAGTGAAATAAATAAACCTATACTAAACACTACCAATGCACACGACAACAAGGATAAAAGCACTCAGTTGCGACAAAGGCAACCCTTAATTCATCTTGGAGCACTAGAGACCGCCAGACTCAGTTGAGCTTCTCTCCTTTAGTGTATTTAAATGGCAGGTATTAAAGCATGCACAACTTTTGGAGCCTCTTCAACAAGAACTCCAATGAAAAACGACACCATGTTCTCCACCCACACTGCTACAGATTTGATCTATAGAGGCGACCACCTCTACAAATCAGCCATCCAACCACTAGGATAGGAATCAGAGCCGCTTTGTTGTCTAGAAGTCATAATCACGATATTTTTAGCGCAAGAAACGTGCGCTTCGCGGCCGCTGGGGCTTGACCGCGACCTCATGCCTCACGTGCATCCTCTAATCATTCCATCCATTATTGCACTTGTGTCGATACGGGATATTTGTCCTTCTTATTTTATTTTTATCTAATTTTTAAATTAGTTGGAAACCTAAACGAATTCAAATGAAAAAGTTATTTAACTTTTTGAGATCTAAAATGTTAGTTTTTGTTGTTTCTCCATCCATAGTCGTTTGAAAATTATAAATTTCAAATACAGTGAGAGATCCATATCGAGCTGAGAGCCTGAGATGGGCCACAAAGTTGGTAATGGGCTCGGCCTTATTAACAAAGGTGGGCCTCTTAAGAGGTCTATGAAAATGGGTTGCGTTTTTAAAGGCGGACTTCTTAAGAGGCCCGCCTCCGTAAATCGATTTTGATAGACAGTCAATTTATGGCTCTCTCTATAAATCTATTTTGGGAGACATCCAATTTTTGACCGTATCCATAAATTAAGCGACGATCTTCGAAAATCGTTACATATTTTAGGAGACAAGTATATTATGTGACCACCTCGGTTAATGCTTGGATCTCGTCTCACAAAATCTTCTATGCAGCAGTAGTGTTGTGTTTTAGCTAGGGATCTAAATAGCACCCATTTTATAGTCAAGTAGTTAATAGTTACTCCATACCTATTTATTATTTAGTTGTGAACCTTCCGTCAAGAAACGATAATCCAATTTGACCAAAAAGAAAATTTATACCGAGTAGATTTTGATCCTTAATTTCTCTTATCATGTATAGTTAATTGTTGAACACATTAATACAATTTATAAGCACTTTAAAAACATATCTATCGATACAAGTTTTATGCTCTAAATTTACATATAATTTTAACTATTGTTAATTAAAATTCACAGAACACTTGACCCTTTCTACCGTGGGAGTTCTGCTGATAGATT